TCTCTCTTTTAATAATTACTTACTTAATTTGATTTATTGTGATTATTATTTTTTAAATTTGCTATAGGGCACATGCACTCACCAGAGAGTGATGTAGAGAGAGAGAGAGAGAAGAAAATGAAAAAAGCAGGCCGCCGGGTCTGGGCCTCGAGCTGCAGTCAGCCATGTGGAAGTCTAGCACCTCAGTCAAGCCACCTGCTGGTCCCTCCATTTGTCTCTTCTATCAGGAGATATTTCTCTCTGCCATTGCTTCCAGCCCCTCTCTCTTCTCTAGTTTTCTTCTTTCCATCTCATCCAGCTTGCTGCCCTTTAGGCTGCCCCTATTCTCCTCCTTGTCAGGAAAAAGGAAGAAGCCTAATAACTCGATGTTGCAGGCTCTGTGAAAGCAAACTGTCACCTGGACAATGACATGCACACATGAAATCTTACCACTTTGTTCACAGTGCCAAAGAAAATGAGGCCTGGAGGGGCCAGCAGGTGGTGTGGTGGTAAGGGCACTGGACTCCCACATGGCCGACTGTGGATCGAGGCCTGGACCTGGCAGCTTGCTTTCTCATCCCCCCCCCCCCTTCCACCTCACTCTGTCCCTCTCTGGTCACATTAGGCTGAATAAATAAAATTAAATCAAACAATTCTTTAAGAAAGAAGAAGGAGAGGAGAGGAGAGGAGAGGAGAGGAGAGGAGAGGAGAGGAGAGGAGTGAAGAGAAGAGAAGAGAAGAGAAGAGAAGAGAAGAGAAGAGAAGAGAAGAGAAGAGAAGAGAAGAGAAGAGAAGAGAAGAGAAGAGAAGAGAAGAGAAGAGAAGAGAAGAGAAGAGAAGAGAAGAGAAGAGAAGAGAAGAGAAGAGAAGAGAAGAGAAGAGAAGAGAAGAGAAGAGAAGAGAAGAGAAGAGAAGAGAAGAGAAGAGAAGAGAAGAGAAGAGAAGAGAAGAGAAGAGGAGGCCTGGAGAATTTTTTTTTAATGCCAGAAGGTGCATGTGTGTACATGAGAGACAGAGGGAGAAGGAGAGAAAGAGTGAAAACCTCCCATCAGGGCGAGTCAGGCTATAATCCTTTTTTCTCAAATTTTGCACCCTGTTGGGGTCCTGGGCACAGGAGTGCTTTCACTCAGTTTGTCTGTCAAGCCGTCAGGGGCTGAAACTGAACGAACTATAGTCAGCCACGTGGGATCCAGCTTTCTCTATATAGCACACGCCTGCTGCACACAGGGCCAGTCTGAGTGACATTTATTTACATGGAGTACCTGGCTCTCTAACGGCTATTTTTGAGCTTAAAAATGTTATCAGTCATTTTTACTTGCTTTTGAGTTATATTTCTGGAAGGCTGAGGCTGCCTGATTTAAGACAACCAGGAATTAGGAAATCAGTACATTTATTTGTATGGTTTCCATTTTTATTTTTCTTACAGATACTATTCCTCTATATATTGGGTTGTCAGAAAAGTCATGACGTATTTTTTTCTGTTTTTTCTATGCAAAAATGTGTCATGACTTTTCTGACAACCCAATATAAGAATCATACCAAAGACATGGAAAAAGCTTACTATCGAAGAGCATGCTCATGAAACCATGATTTCCCCAGCAAGTGACTTAAAATGCTGTCTGCTTATTTCAGTCAGAAATTTCTGGTTTGGGGACCAGCAGGTGGTGTAATGGCTATGTCGTTGGATTCTCACGTCGTCGACTGTGGTTCGAGTCCCGGACCTGACAGCTTCAAACTCATGCTCTGTGTGTGTGTGTGTGTGTGTGTGTGTGTGTGTGTCCAAGATCCTGAGAGGAGAATGGAGGAGAAGGGATTGTGGTATGGCCATCTCCCCTGGGGAGTGATTTTTCAGTTCCTGTCTCTCATCTCTCTCTGTCTCTCCAGGGAGTATACATGCCCTATAGCAAAAATCCCTATCAAAAATGGGGGGTGGGGGGTGGGCTGCAGGTGGCATGGTGGTTAAGGCACTGGACTCCCACATGGCTGACCATGGTTTGAGCCCCAGACCTGCCAACTTGCTTTGTCCCTTTCCCCTTTTTATCTCTCTATCCCTCTCTGGTCAAATTAAAATAAATTAATTAATTAAGAAAAAATTTTGATTTGGAGTTTTCAACCTTTTTAATAAATAAATCTAATTTATTTCCACAGCTTACACTTACTTTGACAAAGGAAATTTGGAAGGAATTACCTGAGGATAGTTTGTGTAGCACTGGGATAGTCAACACTGGCACAATGAAGCACTTCCTGAGGTAAGTATTGATGGTTTCCTGAATTGAGCCTTCTAAAGTGAAGAAACTTCCTTGCCAATTTGCTTAACATCTCTGTTCACCATTCATGATCCCATGACTAGGTCTATTAAGACTGCATAAAATAGCATTGCATTCGGGCTAAGAATAGTTAACACGAAGTTCTCTGCTGACTCTGCATGTCGATGCTGAGAGAGCACTATTGTAGATGACAGGAACACATGGCACAAAAGCACGGGTATTTGATGAGTACAACCTTGATGCCATGTGTCTCTAAAGAATGCTGGCCTGAAGGTTGAGGTTAAAGACTTAGCAGTCAAGGAATCAATTAATACATTTAGCGTAAAATCATTTTCCTGAAATAATTTTAAATATCCTTTTATTTTGATTTTGGTTAGCTGGCTAATTCATATAGGCATTTTTAAATGTTCCATTTAGATTAAAGCTTATATTCTAAGCTTTTGCTCTTCCTGCCTCAGTGATGTCTCTGGAATCTGTGTTAATTGTTGGGTCTCTGATGAGTGTGCTGTACAGTGCAATATATGTTAATGTGTTTTGGGTGATCATTTTTTGTTTTGAAAGCCATTCAGCTAGACCTATACTTATAATTATTTTTTTAGAGAGATTTTTGATTTTTGTTATAGGGTGCTTGTAGGGTGCTTGTACTGCCCGGACAGAGACAGAGAAAGAGAATGTGAGAAATCACCCCTATCCACCATCCCTTCTCTGCCATTCTTCTCTTGGGATTGTGGGCACACATGCATACACACCTGGCGTGAGTTTCAAGCTGCAGAGTCCAGAACTCAAACCGTGGTTAGACTTGTGGGAATCTAGTACTTTACCACTATGCCAACTGCTGGCCTCAATTATAATTACTTTTAAGAATATTGTCATTCACTCTGTTAATGAAAGGCTTAGATAAACTTTACATCATATGAAATAAGGCAAAATGAAGTTAGTATGGCCCTGAATGTTGAGAAAATACAGCACACCTTCCAGAAGACTGCTTTCTTTTTCCGAAGATAGTGACCTACCTTTGCTACACACTCTTAATCCTTGTTTTGGCTTGTTTTTCTCAACCAAATAACTAATGGGTCTGCTTCTTTTAGGATATGATTGAATTCTTTCAGTGACTACAATTTAAGATTTTCTTTTCCTCACTTGTTTTGGCTCATCAGTTTGTGTGGGATTCACTGTATTTTTGTACAGCTTCTGGTATTTACTAGACTTTAGAATTGTAAACATCTCTCAGGAGGTCACTATTCAACTGTTTTCAGGTATTAATATTTGTTTTATTGTACAGAATAAGGAGAGGAGAGGAGAGGAGAGGAGAGGAGAGGAGTGAAGAGAAGAGAAGAGAAGAGAAGAGAAGAGAAGAGAAGAGAAGAGAAGAGAAGAGAAGAGAAGAGAAGAGAAGAGAAGAGAAGAGAAGAGAAGAGAAGAGAAGAGAAGAGAAGAGAAGAGAAGAGAAGAGAAGAGAAGAGAAGAGAAGAGAAGAGAAGAGAAGAGAAGAGAAGAGAAGAGAAGAGAAGAGAAGAGAAGAGAAGAGAAGAGAAGAGAAGAGAAGAGAAGAGAAGAGGAGGCCTGGAGAATTTTTTTTTAATGCCAGAAGGTGCATGTGTGTACATGAGAGACAGAGGGAGAAGGAGAGAAAGAGTGAAAACCTCCCATCAGGGCGAGTCAGGCTATAATCCTTTTTTCTCAAATTTTGCACCCTGTTGGGGTCCTGGGCACAGGAGTGCTTTCACTCAGTTTGTCTGTCAAGCCGTCAGGGGCTGAAACTGAACGAACTATAGTCAGCCACGTGGGATCCAGCTTTCTCTATATAGCACACGCCTGCTGCACACAGGGCCAGTCTGAGTGACATTTATTTACATGGAGTACCTGGCTCTCTAACGGCTATTTTTGAGCTTAAAAATGTTATCAGTCATTTTTACTTGCTTTTGAGTTATATTTCTGGAAGGCTGAGGCTGCCTGATTTAAGACAACCAGGAATTAGGAAATCAGTACATTTATTTGTATGGTTTCCATTTTTATTTTTCTTACAGATACTATTCCTCTATATATTGGGTTGTCAGAAAAGTCATGACGTATTTTTTTCTGTTTTTTCTATGCAAAAATGTGTCATGACTTTTCTGACAACCCAATATAAGAATCATACCAAAGACATGGAAAAAGCTTACTATCGAAGAGCATGCTCATGAAACCATGATTTCCCCAGCAAGTGACTTAAAATGCTGTCTGCTTATTTCAGTCAGAAATTTCTGGTTTGGGGACCAGCAGGTGGTGTAATGGCTATGTCGTTGGATTCTCACGTCGTCGACTGTGGTTCGAGTCCCGGACCTGACAGCTTCAAACTCATGCTCTGTGTGTGTGTGTGTGTGTGTGTGTGTGTGTGTGTCCAAGATCCTGAGAGGAGAATGGAGGAGAAGGGATTGTGGTATGGCCATCTCCCCTGGGGAGTGATTTTTCAGTTCCTGTCTCTCATCTCTCTCTGTCTCTCCAGGGAGTATACATGCCCTATAGCAAAAATCCCTATCAAAAATGGGGGGTGGGGGGTGGGCTGCAGGTGGCATGGTGGTTAAGGCACTGGACTCCCACATGGCTGACCATGGTTTGAGCCCCAGACCTGGCAACTTGCTTTGTCACTTTCCCCTTTTTATCTCTCTATCCCTCTCTGGTCAAATTAAAATAAATTAATTAATTAAGAAAAAATTTTGATTTGGAGTTTTCAACCTTTTTAATAAATAAATCTAATTTATTTCCACAGCTTACACTTACTTTGACAAAGGAAATTTGGAAGGAATTACCTGAGGATAGTTTGTGTAGCACTGGGATAGTCAACACTGGCACAATGAAGCACTTCCTGAGGTAAGTATTGATGGTTTCCTGAATTGAGCCTTCTAAAGTGAAGAAACTTCCTTGCCAATTTGCTTAACATCTCTGTTCACCATTCATGATCCCATGACTAGGTCTATTAAGACTGCATAAAATAGCATTGCATTCGGGCTAAGAATAGTTAACACGAAGTTCTCTGCTGACTCTGCATGTCGATGCTGAGAGAGAGAGCACTATTGTAGATGACAGGAACACATGGCACAAAAGCACGGGTATTTGATGAGTACAACCTTGATGCCATGTGTCTCTAAAGAATGCTGGCCTGAAGGTTGAGGTTAAAGACTTAGCAGTCAAGGAATCAATTAATACATTTAGCGTAAAATCATTTTCCTGAAATAATTTTAAATATCCTTTTATTTTGATTTTGGTTAGCTGGCTAATTCATATAGGCATTTTTAAATGTTCCATTTAGATTAAAGCTTATATTCTAAGCTTTTGCTCTTCCTGCCTCAGTGATGTCTCTGGAATCTGTGTTAATTGTTGGGTCTCTGATGAGTGTGCTGTACAGTGCAATATATGTTAATGTGTTTTGGGTGATCATTTTTTGTTTTGAAAGCCATTCAGCTAGACCTATACTTATAATTATTTTTTTAGAGAGATTTTTGATTTTTGTTATAGGGTGCTTGTAGGGTGCTTGTACTGCCCGGACAGAGACAGAGAAAGAGAATGTGAGAAATCACCCCTATCCACCATCCCTTCTCTGCCATTCTTCTCTTGGGATTGTGGGCACACATGCATACACACCTGGCGTGAGTTTCAAGCTGCAGAGTCCAGAACTCAAACCGTGGTTAGACTTGTGGGAATCTAGTACTTTACCACTATGCCAACTGCTGGCCTCAATTATAATTACTTTTAAGAATATTGTCATTCACTCTGTTAATGAAAGGCTTAGATAAACTTTACATCATATGAAATAAGGCAAAATGAAGTTAGTATGGCCCTGAATGTTGAGAAAATACAGCACACCTTCCAGAAGACTGCTTTCTTTTTCCGAAGATAGTGACCTACCTTTGCTACACACTCTTAATCCTTGTTTTGGCTTGTTTTTCTCAACCAAATAACTAATGGGTCTGCTTCTTTTAGGATATGATTGAATTCTTTCAGTGACTACAATTTAAGATTTTCTTTTCCTCACTTGTTTTGGCTCATCAGTTTGTGTGGGATTCACTGTATTTTTGTACAGCTTCTGGTATTTACTAGACTTTAGAATTGTAAACATCTCTCAGGAGGTCACTATTCAACTGTTTTCAGGTATTAATATTTGTTTTATTGTACAGAATACTTTCTGGCTTATTTATCTCAGCTGTGTAAAAAGATAGTAACGGAAAACCCACTAAGACATTTGCCAATCAAGTATTGACCTGGTATGTTTTTGGTTGCCATGGTAATCAACCCATCTGTTTACATATTCATGAAAACTGATATTTAGGAATGCCTCCTGAAATCTAAATGTGGTGTCTTTTAGCTGTAAACCATGTTAACAGAAAGCTTTAGTGTTAGATGAAGCTTAGAAATCAGAGGCTTCTTTCATGAAAGGGGTGATGACAGTGGTGAGGTTTGTGCTGAACCTAGTACTACTGAACTACTTCAGTGTCCCATTTGCTTTAGAAAAACTTGAGCAACTTGGAAACCAGCCAATTTAGGAGAATAGTAACTTTTGCTTCTGTTAGTTTTTATAGCTAGGTTGAATAGGTGCAACCCTGTGTTTAGTAGAGGTCATATTTTCATGTTATAATAAAAATATTATATATTATATATATTATATAATGATATAAAACTGGGAAAATGAAAATCTACCACTGTAGTTGTACACAGACTAGCACCAGTGATAATGGAAACACACATTCCTATCAGTTATGTGTTCTGACACAAATTTTTTTCCTTTAGCTTGGCACATATATTTTGTGTTTATAATGTACCATTGATTATAGGAAACTGAAGCTAGGAAGACAGATTATACATGAAGAAAGAATCTTGAGGGTTTTCTTTGATGACCATTGTCTTTTAAATAATCAAAGAACACTCAATCATTGCCCTACCTTACTTGCTTATTGTTTTGGGCTTTTACTTTTTTATCTAATGCTTTTTTTATTATATGTTGATTTTTAAAAAATTTTATTTATACATTAATTTATTCTAACTTGACCAGAGAGAGACAAAGAGAGAGAGTAGGAAAGTGATAAAGCAAGCCACCATGTCCAGGACTCAAACTGTGGTCGGCCATGTGGGAGTGTCCAATGCCCTAACCATCATGTCACCTGCTGATCCCATTATATGTTGATTTTTATGAAATTTGGAAGGATAGAGGGCAAGAAATAATAAGTCTATATTCCAACCTGTGTCAAATTTAGAACACCACTTATTCCCTATAGAATACTCACACAGATGTTGGACAGTCTTCGCACTCTTTTCATTTGAACCAGAGAAAGTTATGTAAACATTGCCTGAATAAATCATGTGTTAATTCTTGAGTTCTGCAAATACATTACAAAGAATGAGGAGTTGACTTTCACTGAGAAGTATCCAGCATTATCTAAAAGCCAGCAGTGATTAATCTGTCAATTTCTGAAATACTCTAGAATGAAATTCACCATTCACAGTTCCAGAAGAAATTAAGCTAAACTTAAAGAAATCAAATTGTATATAAGAATGGATTTTTATCTACATTTAAGATACAATGATACCCACATTTTGAACTGCCAACAGAACAAAGATTTAGGGTTTAATTTTTATAATATATTTCATTAACTTTAACTCCATTTATATGTGTAACAGAAAGAGCCTAAGACTTGTACTATGTTTTCTGCTCATAACAACTGTAGGAATTTATATCCCATTTTATAAAAGAGGATAGGAAGTTAAGCAAAGCTACATAACTTACCCAAAGGCACACACATATTTGAATGCAACCACTTGAAAACTATTTCTCATCATCTCTGAATCACTTTTACCCCTTTTCTGTGAGACATTGTGGGTGACAGAGAAATGAATGTGAAGAGGTCTCTGCTCCAAAGTAACATACCAGCTGGTCAAGAGATGAGATAGGCACATACCAAATAAATACATAAAAAGGAATGTGACCAGAGGCAGGTTATAGGCATCTTGTGAAGCAATATTCAGGGAAGTTTTTGTTGACATTGAGGGAACAGGAGGACTAGGACTTTAATATTTTATTTTTAAAAATATATTTTTAAAATAATTATTAATTAATTTATTATTATTATTCTATTTGATAAAGAGAAAGCAGAAGAGTAAGAAAGCAAGCCAACAGGTCTAGGATTTGAACCGTGGTTGGTCACATGGGAGTTAAGTGCCTTAATCATACCAACTGCCAGCCCTGGACTTTAATGTTTTGTTTTATTTTATTTATTTATTTAATTTAGAATAATTTTATTTAACAAAAAAAGAATAATTTTATTTTTAACTTTTTATTTATTTATTTATTTTAATTTTACCAGAGAGGTAAAAAGAGAGAGAAAATGAGAAAGCAAGCCACCAGGTCCAGGACTCATACTGCAGTCAGCCACATAGGAGTCCAGCACCCTTAATGACCATGTCACCTGCCGGCCCCCAATATTTTATTTTAAATTTGTTTAAAGAATTATTTTATTTAACTTTATTTATTTATTTATTTTAATTCGACCAGTGAGGGACAGAGTGAGAGAGAGAGAGAGAAAGAGGAAAAGTGAGAAAGCAAGCCACCAGGTCTGAGATTCAAACTGTGGTAGGTCATGTGGGAGTCCAGTCCCCTTAGCCACCATGCTACCTGCCAGCCCCACGAACTTTAATATTTTAAAACAGTGTGGGGAGGTGGTATTCTCTGATGCTATGAACAAAGCAAACAAAACAAAAAAATTCCACCAGGTGCCACAGCACAGCAGCACAGGTGATGTGATACTGGGTGGAGACCCTGTTTAGAGTGAGAAGACAAGCTGCAAGGACCAAGTTAGGGCAGTTCTCAGAAACATGGTAACATTTTCACCCAGACTTAAAATGGACCTCAAAGAGAAGGGACAGTCAGACAAAAAAAAAACCATTTTCCCTTTCATGTCTAGCCTTCTCTTAGGTCAGAAATCTAGCTCAATCCCTTTACTTACAAATGAGAAGGCAGAGACCCAGAGAAGCAAAGTAGCTTTTGTGGAGTCACGTAGTTCACAGTGGCAAATTCAGTCTAGACTCCAAGTCTGACTCCCAGACTACTTAGTCAGACTCTCTATTTGGCACCAACCAATCTCCACTGCTGCTGAAGATCAGAAAGCACAGGGACATGTAGTTGTTCCAGAATTTGATTAGAATTGCTTGAGGCACTGTCTGAGCTTATGAGATGTAAAAGTTAAGTCTTGAAAAGGGGGAGGTTTATGGCTGTGCATCCAAATACTTTTCTCACTGTAGACTGGTATTTTCAGCCATAGCTTGTTTTCTTTTAGCATACATACACACAGACACACATATGTATGTTTGTATGGGTATGTATACAGTATATACAGGTTGAGTATCCCTAATCCAAACACCCTAAACCCAAAATTCTCAAAATATCAAACTTTTCTCAGAATCAACAAATAGATGTACCACAAATAGAAAATTCCTCAACTGATTTCATGTGACACGTTGCAGTTAAAACACTGCAATACAAAAATATTGCATAATTACCCTTGGGCCACCTCGTAGTATAGAGGTTAAGCACTGTGCATGGGGAGTTGGATCCCACATGGTCAACCAAAGTTTGAATCCCAGCCTTGGAAGCTTGAAGAAATAACAGACAAGTGTGTGTCTGCCCAAGATCCTGACAGGATAGAGAAATGGAGGAAAAGGATTGCAGCATGACCACACTCCACTGGGAGGTTTTATCTCTCTGTCTCTCCTTCTCTTGTACGTGTGCACTGGCTAGCACACATGTCATATGACAATAAAAAGTTACCTTCAGACTATATGTATAAGCTGTATATGAACAAGTACTGTGCCCAAGATATTAT